AGTCAGTATTCTTCACCAGCAGCACAATTTGAACGTGTCAATTTTTCTTTGGTCTTCCTTTTCTCACTGTCCAGCTCTACATGCATATGAGGTGACTGAAAATACTATGGCTTGGGTTAGACACACCTTAGTCATCACTGTGACATCTTTGCTTTTTAATACTTTAAAGAGGTCTTTTGCAGATTTTCCCAGTGCAATATGTCACTTAACTTGATTACTGCTGCCATGGTCATTGATTGCTGGTCCAAGAAGAATGACATCCTTGACAAATTAATTTCTTCTCCATTTAACGTGATGTTGTTTATTGGAAGGACCTTTTGGCCAGGCTGGACAAAATCTTGTGTATATACATTATCTCATTTCATCTTTAGGCAGCTTCTATTGGCATTTTACATTTTCATTTTCTTTGGGTCAAAATTTACTCATTTTTTATAATTGGACATTCGGCACAATTCCAACTTTTTATTCTTTATAAATAACACCCAAATGAATAACCTCTCATACAAGGAAATTCTGGCTGTTACCTTAGGACACATTCCTAGACTAGCATTACTGGGTCAATGGGATGACTATTATAGCCAAATTGCTTTCCAGGAAGATTATACTAATTTTCCAGCTTTGAAGTAATTGAAAAAAAGAAAAAGCTTTGCCAGCTTGACAGGTAAAAAGTACTGACTCTTGATTGTCTTATGTGCATTGCTTTGACAGGTGGTAGTTTCAGTTTTTAAAATCTGCATTTTTCATTTTGCAAGCCATCCATATGCTTTATCCATTTTTGGGGAGGGACTGCTCACACTTTTTCTAAATTTATAAAGGTTTTGGTTATTATCATGTTAAGGGTATTATCCTTTTGTCAAATTTATTGTAAGTAAACATTTTTCCTGAGTTTGTCATTTGCTTTTTAAATTTTGTGTATGGAGCCATTTTTCTTCTTTGATGCACCAAAAACCAAACTCACTGCCATTGAGTCGATTCCAACTCATAGTGACCCCCATTGGGTTTCCGAGGTGGTAAATCTTTACAGAAGTAGATTGCCCAGTCTTCCTTCTGCAGAGTGGCTGCTGGGTTTGAACCGCCAACCTTCTGGTTAACAGTCAGATGCCTTAGGCACTGTGCTGTGAGAGTTTTAAATCTTCTTCAGGGTTTGGTATGAATTAGGATTGTCTGTCTTTGGCCACAGGAAGTCTTGGCACAGGGCTGGCACAATGGCTGCACAATGCGTCCGGGACCCACTTCTTATGTCTTTCTGCTCTGCTACACTTAGCACCTTGGTGCTCACAATTATTGCAGTATGTGATAGTCAAGGCTGTGTGTCATCTTGGGGGGGCCACGATTCTCAGTGGTTAGCAGTTATGATAGCAGTCATCCCCCATGTGGTAGTTATGTTTGTGTGTCAACTTGGCTGGGCCTGGTTGAGTGGCTGGGCAGCTGGTGGTAGTTATTTCCCATGATGAGACTGGCAATCAGCTCCATGGTGGGATCTACCACAAGCAGCTGAGTAGCTGCCTTTGGGAATGTGGTCTGCTTCCTGTATACAAGGAGAAGCTTTGGGAATGGTCTCTAGCCTATGGCACGCTTGGACCCTGCATGTAGCAGTGTCATTGCTCAGCAGCCTGCTATGCTCTGCCAACTGTGGGACTTACAATGGACTTAAGTTAATGGCCTGCTGTGTGGTTTGATAACATTGGGACTGTGCTTTTTTACTTGTCAATCTTGGGTTTTTCACCCTCAGCAGCCAGCAGCTGTTTGAGTGAAGAAATACCTCGAGCTCCAGTGGGCCAGGAGCAGGAGGCAGAGCTGGTCCCCAAGGTTGAGGGGCTTTCCCCCGGCCCTTAGAGCCTGGCATTTGAACTTGGAGTTAAAGCCTCCAAATTTTAAGAATAAACTCCTGTTTGTTAAGGCAATCCCATTTGTGGTATGTTTCCTGTCAGAGTGGTACTAGGTAACCAGAACACCCCATGATGAGAACTGATATAATGTAATAACCTCCATGATGCAATTGGCTATGAGGAGCCAATCAGTTGAAAGGGAGTTTCCTCAGGGGTGTGGTCTCTTCCAATATATATGGATGTCCTAGCAAAGCTCTCTGACTTTTTGCTTGATCTGGATCTTGCATCTGCCTCCTCATCATCTGACCTCTGGTTCCTGGAGTTGAACCAGCGGCCTGCCATCTTACCTGCCTCCGAAGCCAGCAGCCTACGTATGGCCTGCCCACCCTGGGTTTGTCAGCCCCTACATTACACATCGACATGAGTCAGGAGAAGCCTCCAGCCTGACGTCTGGATCATGGACTTGGGACTTGCCAACCTCAATGTGTGATTGGCTTAAGTTTATCTCATTTCCTTGAAATACATTTCTCTCCCTCTCTCACTGGTTTTGCTTCTCTAGAGAACCCAGCCCAAGACTCAGTGTAAGGAAGAAGAGCTTGGGCCCGAGTATAAATCGTAATTCACTGCTTAATGTGTGATTTGAGAGCCATTACTTAGCCTCTCTAAGCCTCAATTTCCTTTTCTGTAAAATAGGGTATTAATGGTGCCTACACACCATCTGTGTGAAGATGGAATGAATCAATCCACATTCAGCATCTAATGCAGTCCCCGACTTGTGGCAAGCCCTCAATTAGCATTAGCAATTGTGGAAAAATCCTTACATTCCCTCCATAAGGCAGGTATCATGATCCTGCTTTAGAGATAAGAGAACTCTCAGTTACCTGCTTGAGAGGCATGGATGCAGACCACAGACCACCTGTGATTGTACAGTCCCTGCTGTTGCCTCCCCCCACCAGGCAGTGGGAGCCCGGGCCTCAAGCTCCCCAACTCGGCTCCCACCAAGGCCGTATGGTCCAGCCAGTGCTCCACTTCCCTTCCAGGTTGCATCAATGATCGGAAGAATCAGCTGAGGCAGCTGTTCCACTCCCTTCAAGGCCAGAAGAAAGCTTCTAGCTAACCCCCAGCGGCCGGGAGGAAAGGGACCCTGGGCAGGCACCACAGCAGTCCTCTCCCCTTGCCCAGCACGGCATTTGCCTCTCTCCCTCCAGCCTGGCAGCAGCTCTGCTGGCTCAGCAGCTGCTTGGACTGGGTGCCCTGTGTCCCCCTCCCCCACCTATCCTCCCCTCCCCCTGCATCTTTACACCAGGAGCCAGCCAATCCCTGGGGCTGGATGTGCTTTAACCTTGACAGACTGGCTTGGCATTCGGACTCAAAGGGCACAAATGAAGCAAGTCCTGCTACTCCAGAGAGATCACGTCTAATAAATGAGCAAAAGCCTTCCGTGGAGTCACTGGGTGCCAGTCCTTCCTCAGGGGTGCTGCTGGCTGTAGCCAAGTCCTGGCTCTTGATACTTGAGTATTTCTCAGGTCAGTGCTGAAAGGATACTTCATGAACAAGGGTTTGGGGGTTTAAGGAATTTACTTTGTGTTTGCCAAGGAAGCAGCTGTTAGGTGCGTGTTCACTGGGAGTCTGGGGGAAGGGCTGAGCCCTAAACACACCCTCCCCTCCTTACAGTACCTAGACCTGACATGTCAGAACCCATGGAGCTCCCCTGCTCATCACCTGAAAACCAGTAGGCCAGAGCACCCCGTTTCTCAGGTTGACAAAGCAGGGATCAGGAAAGCAGATTCTTAGAGACCTACAGGGGACGGAGGGACGGTAGGCAGCTCTCTATAGCACTGTCTCCCTGCTTTAGGGCAGTTCTTTTAGCTGCAAATGGCAGGACCTCATCACCTAGGTTAAGCCCCAAATGAAAGGCTTTTAGAGGAAAATACTAGGAAGGCTTGGTAAATCCAAGTAGCCAGCCTCAGGAAAGCCAAAGCAAGGCTCCCCTGAACCTGCTGCCTACAGTGTGTGCGGACTTCCTTTCATCCTTGTAACTGAGACAAAGCCTAGACGGCCCCTAGCATGGGCTCTAGGTTCCAAGTTCCCAAGAAAAAGGATCTGATGGGCTCTTCTCTGGCCTAGCATCCACCCTGCTATGCAGGCGGGGCAGTTTCAGAGGTAGAGAATCTGTGAGCGAGGCAGGGCTTACATCAGGTCCTTATTCGTGATTATAGTTGCATAGCATTCTGTCCAGAGCCATCGATTCCTGTCACTAGTTCCCTGTGGATTCTTTCCATTTCCACCCTGCTTTTTAGAGCTAACATGTACATCATATGAAAAAAACCCTAAAGGATGTAGGATCATAGGTGTGGGCTGCATCTGGCTTATAAAGGTATTTTGTTTGGCCTGCACCCAATTTTTTAATAATTTTCTGAATTAGTTGGCAATATTTAAAAGACAGGAAATTCAATGTAAAAATCCAAATTTCTGGATCCTCTTGGAAAAAGGCTAAGAGCTGGCCATACCATCAGGGGTGGGGGTGAGGGACACAGGTAAGGTGCAGCCTCTCCATTTTGCCAATCCCCCCTACTCGTGTTGTTTTGTGCATTCTGTTCACTTCACCCTTCTGTCACCTGCCTGTCCCTCCCCGTGTACATCTGAGTGTGTGACTCTTGATAGAAATGCTGGCATCACTTTCAAAGAGGAACCTCCCTCCATAGGTGAATGAGGCAGACAAGAGCAGCATTTACTGAGCCCTCAATGAACGTGAAAGCCACAGCGATGCCCTCATAGCACATTCGTGTTAGGATCTGACTGCAGCAGGCAAGAGGGAGCTCTGAGCAGGGCTGGCCCCGGCCAACCTTGCTCTCAGACAGAGGAGGGCATCCTTGCCATCCACGTGCAGCGAATTAGAGGCAGCCTGGCTTGTGCATTCCCAGTGCAGGACTCTGGAAGGTCTTCCTGACTGAAGAGCAGCCACTGGGTTTGATAAGCAGCAACCACTCTGGGCTCCATCCTGGGAGCAAGCAGGAAAAAAGGGGCAGAAGGGAGGCAGCAGGAAGGAACCATGTGTGTATGCCTCACAGACAGCCGTGGTGACTCACAAGCACCAGATCTCTGTCCTTCAACCACCAGGAGCCTCCTTCTTGTAGTCCAACGCCATACACACATTGCTCAAAGCTCAAACGTGTCTCTCCCTCTCCGAGAGGAATGCCGGAATGAAGCTCTTGAATTCCCACCCTTCCCGGAGCCCAGTGAACAGCAGGCCATTGTTGACAAGTGTCTGCTGCAGTCATTCTCACACCCCCACCCACCCACTGGTGGCTGCCAGGGCCCATCAAAGGGTCCTGTGTCCACCCAGTCCGGCAGTGGGGCCCAGGAGACACTGGCAGGCTGAGCTTCCCACCTGCCTTTCCAGAGCAGCCAAGCGCTAGACAGGCGCTTCGTACAGGAGTCATGGCCAGACTCCAGGTGCTTGTCCCCCTCACAGGGCAAATTCTGTCCTTTCCTCGAAGGCTTCGTGGCTGGAGGGTCTTGGGTCCTCCGTGACCGCAAGGGGGATGCTGGCCTTCGGTCCCCCATCTTGGTTCTTGAGCTTTATCCTCTTAAGATGACTTTGACAGCTTTAAGCTCATCCTGGTTGAGGGGGTTCAAGTTAAAACCCTTCAGCTCTGGCTTGCCTAGGAGGAGAAGACAATCTATCAACAAGGCAGGCCTGCCGCTGTCTGGCTCATGCTGGCTCTGGAGCCAGGCCCAGGGAAGGGGCTTACACTGCATTCCTGCTGCCAAATGCTCGGCCTGAGGTCCAACAGGATGGCCTTGGACTCTGCAATGCACTGAAGGACGTGAATCAGTGGCCACTCCTGGGCTACCAAGAACCCACAAAGTCATGACTCTGCTGCCCAGAGGACTCTAGGACTTTTGCCAGACATGTGACCAGTGTGAAGTGCTTGGGTTGAACCAGAAATTCAGCCTTGACTTCTACCCCTAACTCAGGCGTTTTGCATTCCCTCAGACAGGGATGTCCCGGTCCCCAGTTTTCCTCTGTCCCCACACCCTGGCATGCACTATGAGATAACTTGGACAGTTCATGTGCCTGGGAAAGAAGGTATGACAGGACTCAGACCCCACAAACCTCCCTGTCCATCCCTTTCTCTCGGCGGCTTTAGACAACCATTGACCACGCCTTCAGTGCCACTCACATGCTGCTCAGGCCACCGCCCAGCTCTGAGAGGCTTCCCATCCCTGCCCTTTAAAGTCTGTGTTGATGGTTCTTCGCCCCTCCTGCTACCCAATACCCCCTAGGCCAATACCTTGGGCCTCAAAGAGGCGGTTGACCTTCAGTTTCAGTTGTTTCCGGAGTTTCTCTATTTCTACATCCAGATGAGCCTGGTCTGGAGAGATGAGGTAGGAAGTAGAGGATGAGGTTATCCTACAGGCAGACTGACCAACACAAAGACTAACCCAAAGGGGCTAGGAATGCCAGGCTTCTCCTACCTCCTGAGAGCAAGGGCTCTCAAGCATCTGAGAAGCTAAAGGAGACCCAGAGGCCAGCTAAGGAAAGAACTAAAGGTTACAAAAGGGATGTGACCTGTTCAAGACCACTCTCAGTTCAAGACAGGCTGGGCACACCAGTCTCCTGACTCCTAGCTCACTCATCTTTTTTTTTTCATTTGCAAAATCCCTTGGGTGGTCAGTGGATGGGGAAGGCAACATCAGGACTTTAGGTCACCCTCCCACAGTGGACATACAGAAAATCCACATGTAAGAACAAAACCAAGCACCTATAAATCAGGACCACCCTAAGAAATGCTTGGCAAATGGTGGCTGAAGAGTTTAAAAAACCAAGTTCATTAAGACGATGGGTTTTTAGAAAAGCATGACTGTGCCTGTGGGCTCAGGACCATAGTCACAGGGGACATCAAGCTCAATTGGCATAACATACTACACAAAACATTGTTCC